TACTTCACACTTCACTTTTATAGAACCTTTTTTAAAAAGTTCGGTGACAGCAGAGGCCACCACAGGCCGCGGTGGCGCCTCTTCTGCGGACGTCGTGCCTTGCCCGGCGCCTGCCCGATGCCGCGCTCTCCCACACCCGCGGGACCTAGTGCAATTAAACCCAAGCCGAGTGTGACACTTGTAAACCGTTATAGCTTCAGTGCTTTGTGCCGTTTGCTTCCTGGTTTTCATTTCTAATTGTGCTTTGAGACAGTGCAATAAACTAGACTTTTCCAAGCCTAGCTGAGTCTGCTGTCTGAGCGACGAAGGCTGGCGTTCCCACTTGTGCTGGGGAGAGCCTGCTGGTCGCGTCTGCCAGCCCAGACCCCCTGTCAAGAGGGGCGGGTGGATATAACTTCGTGACCAGCTTGCCCAGGAGGCTTCCTGGGAGAAAGTCACTCCAGAGGTAGACGCACCTGGTGGCCCCTGGGAAGGACACCCTGAGGTGAGGCGGAGCACAGGGCAGTGTCCTCCCGGAGGCCCTTGGAGGTCACTTTAGGGGCCCAAGACCTGGGCCTGTCTCTGCTCATGACACAGAACCAGATTCCAGAAGTGCCTCGTGAAACAAACTTGCGGGAAAAGATCACATTTGTGAAACCGCAGGACATCCCAGAACAGGAAATGACCTGGACAAGAAACGTCAAGACCCAAGTCAAGAGGTGGCCAAGCTTTACAGAAGACTTCCGAGAAAGCGTGCGTCAGAAGGGCATGCTCGACGATCCTGGCGGGAGACCCTGTCCACTGTGCAGGGACGTCAGTCCTTTCCAAGGGAGTGGGTGGGTCTCACTCAGTTTGTCAAAATCCTCACTGGGATTTGTTTTGTTAGGGGAGGCAGGGAGGGAACCCTGAAACCATGTTCGTGCCACAGACACCCCCTTGACTGCACCAGACGTGCTCCAAGGGGCTCACGCATGCAGCCACATCCTCACAGGGCCCGAGGCATAAGTACTGTTTCCCCAGTGAGACTCAGAGAGGTTAAGTGACTTGCTCAAGGCAACACCGGGAGTGCATTGGGGAGCCCAGCTGGGTAGGTAGGCTGTCCGCTGCCACCTCACTGTCTGGGGAAGGAGAAACATAAGAATTGCCAAGAGTGACAGCCGGCCAGCGAATGAAGGATGGCGTGGATGGACGGGCCAGTGACATCAAGCCGCCCAGTGAGGCCCCCGGGGAGCCAGCACCGCGGTGAGGGGACAGGAGGGCAACTTCACAACTGATGTGGACCACTCCTGAGTCATCTAGAGAAAATATTCATCGGATTAAAGGATCTTAAAATGAGGGGCAAAAAACAGTATCTGATTTCTGGAAGGCAAGCAGTTTTCTAAACTCAGAAGTGACGGGGAAAGCCAGAAAATGGTATATAGATTTGATTTCTTCAAAAATATAAAGATGCTGTAAATTAAAAACTCCACATAAAATTAAAAGTGTAAATAACCACAATGAGTAGGAGGACCACCTAAGATGTGTGTGGATGGAGGAGGGGACGGTCGCTGCTTCATGAACACCGGGCAGATGGAGCAGGTCAGGAGCCACTGCTGGCACATCCCTTCCGGGAGAATCACCATCGGCCTGCAGCGGCCTTTCAGCCGTCCCCCCACGAACCCCTACTTCCAGAAACCTATCCTCAAGAGCAAACCCTAGTTGTACAGCACAGCATCATTTGTAATTGTGAAACACTAAGACCAGCCAGCATTTGGGAGCATTTCTCCAGTGAAACAGCGTGCAGCTGTTAAAAAGCCTGTGTCCTCCTGGAGGAAATGTGTTCGGGGCAGTCTGTGACATAATTTTATCTTATTAACGTTAATCTCTCGGGTGTGGTTTTGCAGCAGATCATCTAGAGGGAGATACTGCAGATGCACTTACTCTGCTGTAATCACTTCTGGTGGGTTTGACATTTTTCATAATTCCAGGGGCACAGGAGGGGCAGAAAGACACTACACAGGCAGCTGGTCACCGTGTCTGCCTGTAACGTATACCTTTTTGTATCTTTTGAATTTGAGCCATGTAAATGTATTATTTATTCCAGAAATAAAATTCCCAGTTTAAAGGCTCAGTCCTCTCTAACAGTAACTCTCTGTCTCATCAACACTAGCTGCATCAAGCATCACTAACACAAAGGCTTCTTAAAAATCGTATTTACAGAGTGTTTTACAATATACGGAAATGCTTATGCTACAGGAAGTTTTTAACTCTAAATCTGATCTAATGGCACATATGTAGAAAATATGCACAGAAAAAAATGGAAGAAAATACACCAAAACGCTAGCAGTGCCTGTCTGGGTGCCGGGTGCTGGCAGGGAGCCAGCCCCTTCCTTTGGGAGCCACACGCTGGGGCGAGCAGGGGCCCTGCCACACCCTGACCTGGGTTTCTCTGCAGTCTGTGCGACCACGAGCGGGAACTCTGTAAGCAGAAAAATCACAGAGATAGAAATCTCTTATCTTCGTCTCTATCTTGAGTGGGATGGTGGCTGCACTTGTGATGACATTGGTCATAACTCCTCAAGCCACACACTTAAAGCTTGTGTGTTTATTATGCGTCTCGTCAGCTACATCTTACTGTCAAACCCGGCAGGACAGACCCAGCCGCTGCGGGGCAGAGCTTTCTCAGCCTCACTCCTCCCGAAACAGGCTTGGTCCTGCCCCTCCTCCCCTGACCGTGCTGGTTTCCCTCCTTCGACTCCCAGGAAACATTCTTGTTGTGAACAGAGTTGGGGGTAACTTAGGAAAGTGGTCTCAGTACAGAATTTTAAAGTTGAAGAAACTGAGAAGAAAGGAAATCAGCGGGAGAATCGAGGTAGTACAGAAGAGGTGCAGCGAGGCCCCGGCACAGGGTCATGTCACCACGGCCAAAGCTGGCAGAGTGGGGCCCCTTGCCCGCCTGGCGCCTCCCCCGGCCCCCTGGACAGCACAGGCACAAGGTCACCATACAGGAGCGCCCCTGTTCTCTATGGGTCTGGGATGCAGAGATCCTGGCCCCTCAGGCCTCCCCAACAGTGGGTTACCAGGCCCCGGGGTGGGCATGGGGAAGGCAGTAGTGGCCACAGTCAGGTTTTCCTTAGCAAGGTTGGTGGGATGAACGAACAAACCAACTAACAAGCTTCGTCCCAAAGACGTGGGCCTTGTTCCGGGCAGAGCCGTTGCCTCTGAGAAGCCATCAAGGCCACCTGCCAACAACAGCTAAGAGCTGAGTCGCCTGGCTGGCTGCGGCTCTCCCCAGGCCTCCTGCTCATTGCCAGGGTTACCATGCTGATGGGGAGGCCCCAACATCCTCTGGGGCTGGACGGCCCAGGGGGCGATAAGCTGAGGCCTGGCCCCGCCACACCCCACCCCAGGCCAGCAGCAGCCACCAGATAACCCCGAGGCTTCTCCACCCTGCACCGTGGCCCTCAGTTCTCTGCTCTCCTTGACGCCTGGGGTGCCCAAGCCAGGTGTTCCCAGTGAGATTCAGTGGGAGCCGTGCCCAGAATCAGGACCCGCTCGGCTGCCACAGGGCTGCCGCTGCCTTCCCCCACCCCATCCAGCCACAGGACACCAGGGGCTGATGCCCCAGCTGCCCTCCCACCCCTCCAAGGTATAGGGGCCCCTGGACCTGTGCTCCGGCTGGGCACCTGGACCCCTGCTCTGGTGCCCACAATCCCTCCTGCCAGGATCCTGCCCCGCACTCCAGGACCAGCCCAGGTGCAGCCTCCTGCTTGCCCAACAGTGTTCCCAAGGCCTGTTGGGGAGCTCCCCCATCCCTGCATCACCCCATCCCCAGCCAAGGGGGCTCAAAAGAGATTGTCACCAAAGGGGCAGCTATAGGTCCAGAGGAGAAGTGAAGGGAAGCCCTGGGCCTTGGGCCAGGAAGGCTGACCCCAAAGAGGATAGAGCTAGGACTAGGGAGAAGTCTGCATGCCCAGGTCTCCCATCAGGTGCCTGTCAGGTGCCCGGGCTCTTTCTAGACAGAAGCTGCTGGGACACGAGGGCACCAAGGGTTCCCCACACCTCCCCCTGCCCAAACCCCAGGAGCCACTGCAACCTGCTGCTCCAGGCCACCCTAGTCTCCACTTATCTCCAAAGGAAATGTGCCCTCCCCTAACAGTGCATGCCTGTATGAGGACCTGGGACCGCCCCCCTTCCGAGGAACCAGGAACTCCTGATGCCCTAAGTTTTAAGCTCTAAGAGATGGCAGTATCCACTGTCCCCGTGTCGAGGCTCAAAGAGGCTATTTAACTGGGCCAGGACACACAGCAGGAAGGCACCCTCATTCTCACCTGGTATCTAG